AAAGTGAAGAGAGAGATAACTATAGCATAAATAGGCAGTTTCATGTTGTTGGGATGCTTGTCTCAATAGCTACCTCCAGTACATACAGATAAACCACAATAACAACAACAACGACGACAACAAAAAGGATGGGAAATAAGGAACTAAACATCCAAATTAAAATAAAAATAATAATAAAATAAAATAAAAAAGTGCACAAATGTAATCTCACAGAACTCCTCTAGCGCTGAAAGCTATGTTAACCACCCCACCCCCCGCGCCCCCGGAAAGAAGAGAGAGACAGAGAGAAAGACAGAGAGAGAATTTCACAGTCATGTTTTACAGAAGCTATTGCGTTACACTACCGCTAGTTAATAACTGGCAAAAGGCAGCCGGGAGCTCCCGGAGCCTCCCGCGCTCTGCTCATTGTGTCAAAGGATAATCGGGAAAGTGGCGCTTACAGCTATATTGTTTTACAGCAATAAAAGGGATTTTTTTGTGTTTTTTTTTTTTTTTTTTTTTTTTTTTGTTTTTTTCTTTTTTTTTTTTTTTTTTTTTTTTTTTTTTTTTTTTTTTTTTTTTTTTGTTTTTTTTTTTTTTTTTTTTTGTCGTGTGCCCCCCCCCCCCCCGACCACCACCCCCACCCCTCCCTTACAGCAACTCTCATTAACGCGGGGCTCGGGGGCTCCTCCACCCCAGCAGCGCTTGCCTTTCAGTCCTCAAAATTCCCTTTATTTCTTGTCCGCCTTCTGTGCTTCCCCTTCCTCGTCCACCTCCTGCGCTCTTTCCATTTTCTGTTTTTCCAGTTCTTCCTGCTCGCATTTGCTGCTGGGAAACTTGTCTTTGTTGTTCTCCTTTTTCCATTTCATCCTCCTGTTCTGGAACCAGATTTTGACCTGCCTCTCTGTCAATCCCAGGGCATGCGAGACCTCGATCCTCCGTTTGCGGGTCAGGTAGGGATTAAATAGAAATTCCTTCTCCAGTTCCAGCGTCTGGTAGCGGCTGTAGGTTTGCCTCCCCCTCCTGCGTCCGGCGGCTGCTGGGGGATGGCAAAGGTTGGGTGGGAGAGAAGGGGCGGAAAGGAGAAGGAGGTTGAGAGAAACATAAACCAGGCTCGGGGAGAGGCGCAAACAACTCGCAAAACCCCCCAAAAAACCCCGCGGGAAGGCAGGAGGGCGAGGGGGAGACGGTTCAGAGGGAAAAGGGCGATGGTGGCAGGGGAAGGGAAGGAAAAGGGGAGAGGGAAAAGGGAGAGGGGGGGTCGGTCGCCCTCAGCCCACCCCAGCAGCCCGGCCGGAGCTGCGCTTTGCACACTGATTATCACCCCCAGCACAACAACAGCGCAGCCCGGCCCGGGAAAAAACCCCAAAAAGCAGCAAAAAATGAAAATAAATAAAAGGCTGCGGCCCGCAGAGAGGCGGCAGCGCGGCCGAGAGCCCCAATCGAACGGCAAACAAAAATGAAGGGGCTTTTTAAGGCTATAAAAGTGCCATAAACTTTAAGGACGCTTCCTTCCACAGAAAGCCCGGCTCGCTCAGCCCCCAGAAGAAAAGGTCTCCTTCAGGGTAATTAAACTATAAAGCAATTTACAAGTGCAAAAGTTTACCCCCATAAAGCACTAAAATACAGTCACCGGGGGCGAGAAAAAGGCAGCGAGAGAAAGAAAGGCAGCAAAGGAGGGGCAGAGAAAGCAAAACGCCGAAAAGAAAAAGAAAAAGAAAAAGAAAAAAGCCGAGGGGGTGGCGGGTTTGGGGGGAGCTGGGGCTGCTCCGGGGCGCCGCTCGCCGCTCTCGCCTCACCTTGCGGGCGCATCCAGGGGAAGAGCTGCGTGGGAGAAGGGCTCTGCTCCGAGCTCTCCGCCTCCTCGAGGCCGCCGGCGGCGAGCTTGCAGTCGGCGTAGGGCAGCAGCTCGGGCTCCTGGCCGCCGAACAGGCTCTGCCGCTGCAGCGGCTCGTAGCCGTAGAAGTTGGCCGGCTCGCCGTGGCACGCCACGGCGCACGGGTTCTGCTGGTACGGGGAGCTGGAGAGCGACGAGGCGCCGTGGTAGAACTCCTGGATTTGGGGCGGGTGCTGGAAGGTGCCCCCCGCGCTGGGGCCGTACACCACGGTGGGTCTGCCCCCGAGCTCCTGAGCGAACCCACAGTCATAGTAATTGGGGCGCAGGGAGTCGCCGGTTTTGTATTTGGAGAAGAGTGAGTTGACAAAATAGGAGCTCATTTTAATTTCAATAAGAGGTTGTTGGTTTGTTTTTTTTTCCCGTTGTTGTTGTTGTTTTTTTTTTTTTTAAAGCAGCGGGAGGAAAAAAAAAATTAAAAAAAATTAAAAAAAAAATCACCCTCACGACAAACCAGACCGCGAGAATCTATTAGCAAAAAAAGAAAGCGCTAAGATGCTAAGCAACGACAGTTTGTGATTTCCAGGAATATAAAAGGAGGATATAATCAAAACTCTAAGCCTGCATGATATTGAATTCTTTCCTCCCCCCCCACCCCTAAAAAAAAAAAAAAAAATCGCCACTTAAAGAGTTCTCGCTTTACATTTCCAAGAAGAGATGCCAGTTCATAAACAGTTTTCAGTGATTTACTTCAGCGCAAATGAGTTGTTTCATATTTTGCAGTGTCTTTTCATGATCATTTGCATCTATTACCAAAACCTCATCCTATTGGCTTCTCCTTACTCCACACGGACTCTGCACCGCATGATTGTGAAAGGAAGAGTGTGGGAGAATAAAGAAGGAAAAGCGAGCAGGGGGAGCGAGCGAGAGAGAGAGGGAGGGAGGAGAGGGGAAGGGAGAAGGAGGTGGGGTGAATATACGGATTAAATATGTTTAACTACCCCCATTAATGAGATATCGCTCGCCTCACAACAAATCACGTACCTAGACCACCCAAAAGATTGATTTTTGGGGAGTGTTGGAAAATTAAAGAGGAGCGCTCGCAGTCGTTAATTTCAAAATTTTAACGAGGCAGTTTTAGCCTTTTTAAATGTCAGGGTCGCTTTGGAAAACTGTAAAAGAACACGATTTAATTGCTACCAGTTTTAAAAGGTCCTATAAATGTAATTGGTATTTTAATACAAGTTATCAAATCATACAGCTTCTTATCCTAAACATATTTTAAAACAAACGAGGTAGTCATATTTAACATTTTAATGATCAATTTCCTTATTATTGATAAAGGTTTAACTATCGCATGAAGGGAATTGCGTTTGTAATAGCCCCAAAAAAGGCTGTAAACTGTTTAACAAACTATAAAACGCCATAAAGCCGGGGATGTTGTTGTTGTTTATGCCGCACTCCATAAAAGCCGCTCGGCTTTTACGAGTCCGCTCCTCCGCCGCTGGCAGCGGAGCTTTCCAGCGGAGCCTTCCGCGGCCGCGGCCAGACGCGGAGGTGGCAATATCGAATTAAAACCGGCGAGTTTTTCAGCTGCAACAGCGACTTTGCGCCGCTCGCCCTCGCTGCCTCCTCCTCCTCTTCCTCCTCCTCCTCCTCCTCACCAGGAGACGCGCTCGGGGATGACTCCAAACTCCAAATATTGAGGCTCTGCTCACGCCCAGAGCAGAAAATCCCGAGCCCACCTCGCCCCCAGGACTTCCATTTCTTTATTTCATTCTTTTTATTTCACATTTTCCCCTTCTTCTTCCCAGGGCAAGCGCGGGGGGATGGGGAGAGAGGAGGGAGAAGCTTTTCTCTTTTATTGGCATTCGGCAACAGCGGAGCCAAAGTTGCCCCTCGGATGCCAGCGCTGCAATTTTCCACCGCCGGAACACACAGGGGGTAGATTTGGAAATTCATTTCTCGCACTCAGCAAATATTACCCAGACGTTCCTCAGTTAATAACGACTCCGAACCCTCCCAGCCCGAGCGCTGCCCCGGCCCCTCCAGAGCCCCCCAGCAATCCCAGCTGGATTTTCCAGCTTTTTCTGCCTCCCGTCCTCTCTTTTCCACCTCAGTTTTGGAATTTTTTCCCCCGCTTTGCCCCGCCTGGGTTTCTGCTGCTTCCCCATCGCCTCCGCCTGAGCGGGGCTGGAGGCGAGAAAAGTGAATTTTAGGAGGTGTCCTCCTCCAGCCGAGGGACAAATTCAACCTCCACCGCACGAAAAGAGAGGGAAAAGTTGAAATATTTTGGGTTTTCTACCTTGGTTAAAAAAAAAAAAAATAATTAAAAATCCGCCCTAAAATGATCAGGGGGGAAAGGCAGGGAGCGAAGGAAGGCAGAAAGGAAGAGAGAGCGAGAAAGAAAACAAAGATAGCAACGGAATAAAACTTTAAACCCATCCTTAGAGAAATAATGGAAGTAAATACGCTTCCTTTATTTTGTGGAGGGATAATTCCAGCCGAGCCTAAGAGCCTTTTCGGGTAATTATTGCTGCTGGAGTACTTGCAGCGGTATAATTAAGGCTCTTTTCGCCCCTCTAAAAAGACGAGTTAACATTTTCTTTTTTCTCCCCACTTTTATTGCCGATTGAGCAGATTTGGGTTTCATCTCGCCACATAAAAAGCCCCGAAAATGGTGCAGGGAAGTAAACAGAGCCCCGCAGCCCGGCCTGGGGATGCTGGAATATTCAAAGGGGGGAGAAAAAAAATTCCAGCGGAATCGAGGAAAGCGATTTCCCGGCCGAAGTTTCCTCCGCTGAACTTTGGGAAGGGCGAAAAGAGCAGGAATTGGCGGAGGCCGGGAAGTTGCGGTTGGGAATGAGGGTTTTGATGAAAAAGAAATAATAATAATCGTAATCATTGGAAGGCGGGGATGCGGCGGGAGCTCCGCGGTGCCCCAGAAATCCGAGGCTGATCCTAAATCACCGCGCTCGGGGTCCCGATGAAAGGAAAATGTTTCCATTGCAGGGAAAAGCGAGCGAGTGCGCGGGGTGGGTGTCGGAGCGAGGTAATTTATAAATACCCAGCGGAGGGAAGATTTATTAGGAATTCATAAGGAAAGGGGGAAAAAAAAAAATTAAAAATAACCCGAAAGAGCCTCAAATCCTTTCCCTGCTAAACCTCAAGTTCCGCCTCGCGCCGAATGCACAGGGGCGAGATTTTTCTTCATTCCCCTCATTTATTTCTGTTTGCGCTCGTATTTCTCGCCCTGGCGTTGAAACGGAGCCTGGAGATGCCGAAACTTTGCCTCTTAAAAGAAGATTTCCCACCCTGCGCGGCTGCGTGTGGGTTTGAATTGTTCCGCCCTCACCCAAAATCTTGATTTTTGGGAGCGACGGGAGCGGTTTCTGGTGGAACTGGGGAGCAATTCTCAGTCAGGAAAAAACCCGTTTATACCAATTTGAAAGAAAACCCATCTTGAAATTATTGCCGCCGTTTGTGGCGGAAGAATTACAACATTGGAGTAAATTTTTGCCTCGTAATTCTGAGGAATCAAAGGCCAAAATCAAAGTGAGCTGGTGGAGTTAAAAGTTGACGTTATTGCTGCCGCATCAGGGGTGCATTTATTTGTACCCCAAAGCGCGGTGGTTTAAGAGCATTTTGGGTTAATTTACTCGCTTGTGGCATTAAAAAAAAAAATAATTTCTGAAGCTGTTAAAGTGAAGAATTCAAGCGAAGAGCATCGGCGCTGCCAAAAGATGGGGCAGCCACACCAGAAATGAGTGGTTCAACTTCTAAAAAAACAAATGCTCTTGGTTTAATGCATGGTTGAGTAGTTTTTTTCTTTTATTTTATCTTTTTTTTTTTTTTTTTTTTACTTTAATTTTTATTTAATTTGTAGTTTTT